GATTGTTCGTCAACCTAACTTATAAGAAATGAGCATATTAGGATGTACACGAGCAGAACACAATGAAAGATATCAACCTTGAAGAAGGTTTCGGTAGAAGGTACAACTTGGGAAGTATCTCGTTCCTTCGACGTCATTCTTTCATCTAGAGCTAGGCGCCAATGAGGCCTAACGCTTCCCACAGCTACAGGAGCACTTGCAGCATCTGCGTTAAAGAATGAGAAAAAATAACTTATTATGTAAAGTTATGGCAGCACAATTCACAAACCTTCCTTGACTGACGTAACAGGTCTCCGTTCCTCGGCTAAATCGCTTTTGATGAGTGCAGTTGATGATGTTTTTGAAGGAGTTTCAATATCAATTTGCACGCTCGCTCTCTCATCGGCATTTTTAAGGTTAGCCTCTACACATTCCTTAGAGATAGTGGACCATGTCTCATTCTGTATTTTGCTTGCGACTTGTACAAGTTCCTGCTTTGTATCGGCTGAAAAGGGAGGATTTGAAAATGGATTTTGTATCTAGCGCTTTGGCTAGCAAGAAGTGCACGCTTTGCATTAGAATACCATCAGGATTTTTTACGCTCATTACTAAACGCTTGAGCTTCCTCAAACGAGGAATTACTAGTTATTAGTGTGATTATAAAGCCTTTTTATAGGATTGCAAGCTCATGAAATGTTTGTTATTTCAATAAAAAAAGACCAAGTCATTCCATGTTTTACAAGCACACATGCAACAGTTTGATCTCATCCCTTTCATTGTAGGACGGGAGCAGGCTAAACCCCATCTTTTTAAGCCATGTATAAGGGCGGGAGAGAAAGTTTCATATAAGCATCATCTAAATCCGTAGCTGACTGGACGGCAAAACAATTTCTGCGCAGGCAGCCACACGCATGAGGGCATAGTTTAACGATCTCCTCCTGGAGGCATTGTTCTTTCGGAGCAAATGGATGAAGGGGTGATTAGCAATGATATTCAGCTGCATCGGCATTACCAGTAATTGTTAGCTCTTCATATCTCTCATTCGCAGGTTATTCTAGGCACTGAAGCTAAAGTTTTTTCTGCAATTCAATTAGACCCTCATTAATGAACATTGGGTTTCCTAGTTATCTATACATATGTTTTCAAGTGTAAGCTCTTCATTTAGTTTAGTACT